AAGCAGGTCTTCGACCCACAATCTGCCACTATAGGCGAATTACTGTCGCGAATGACTGCAGAAATTGCGCGTTTTAAACGTGGGAACTACACGGTGAGGTGAGAAGCATGGGGCGTAAACAGTTGATAGCTCCATCGTAAAGTCATTAGTGAGAGAGAGAAGGAAAGAGCGAGAGAGAGAGAGAGAGAGAAAGAGAGAGAGAGACAGACAGAGAGTGAGAGAAAGAATACACACACCCAGTCATCCTAAAACGGTCCCACTCACTGAAAATAGTCCCGGTACGTTCCAGTACCCGATCTACCAACAGAAAAACGCAACGCATTTCAAAACATTTGAACTCGTGACGCGGGTTTTCCTGGAAAATCTAGACATAGTCGTCTGTTTTTGCAGCAGGCGAACGCTTCAGTATGAACATCGCAGATGCTATCAAACTGAGCACGTGGCGAAGGCTGCGTCAGATACAGGGTTTCGCACGCCAACAGCTTCGTGCCTTCAGCTTTCAGCCTCAACAATAAAGATGGCGGCCGTTTAAAGAGCAATACAAGACGGGGTTCTCTCTCTCTCTCTCTCTCTCTCTCTCTTGCTCTCTTTCTCTCTCTCTCTCTCTCTCTCTCTCTCTCTCTACTCTCTCGCTAGCGCGCGCGCTCTCTCTCTTCTATTGCTCTCTCTCTCTCTCCCTCTCTCCCTCTATCTATCTATATCTCTCCCCTCATCTCTATTTGTTTTTCGCGATGCTTGTAACTATTTACATCGATTCACAGCGGCGACAATTAAGTGTCTATCTATCTGTGATGCAGGGCCCCACTGTAGCACTACCCACATGTTTTTTTTTGTCGGATTACTATAGCTGAACGCCTTGTCGAGGAGTTCACATTTACATCTGTAGATCGTCACGCTGCGTTTTGCTCTCACGATGCTTTTTACGCGCGTTGCAGTGAATATTGCAGTTCATCGTTCAAATAGCTCCTCCGCAAAGACTACGCGCTGTCTCATCTCATGAACTCTCGCTGAATTCTGATAACTGTAAGGGTCCATGTTTCTCTCGGTACGTGATCGAACATATACCCGTAACTAGCGGGAGCGTAGGGGCTACACCGGTAGAACTACTTACATTCCTACTTTTATTATATATTGGGAAATTATATTTTTCAAATTTACTTATCAGCAAGTTTTAGCAGGCAGCTCATGTGAGTATACCACTATAATATATGGTATACATGCCGCTAAGTAAGTCGGACTGTATTTCCCGTTAGTATTTGCTTATTATTCGATGCATTCTCTACTTCAGATACACTCCGAACAATGAGTCAACTTCCAAACAAATTAATACTTGATACATAACATTTTCTCAAGTTATTTTTCACGCGTTTGTTAATGTGTAACGAGGAATGACTAGCGCTCATAAAACGAGAACAAAAAAACATTTTTATTGTAAATTTACAGATTCAAAGAAATCTAACTATGCACAATGTTAAAGAGCAGTGCCTAGCGCCGAGAATGCAGAGCGAGAGCCTGAACTGCAATGAGTCAGCCTCGCACGTATTGTGTTGTAAACGTGAATGAAACACGGGCAGCTGCCCAGACAAACATCGCCTGGCTCTTTTCGTGTTCCCTCCAGCACGCAGGAGGTTAGTATACAACCTTCAGATGTGTAACACTACAGGGAATATCATTGCTATGACTTATACTGAATTAGTCGCGATGGAAATTATGTACTTACATCCTTTTCTTCTTCTTCTTCTTCTTCTTCTTCTTCTTCGTCCTCCGCCACCTGTATGATTTCTTCCTCGATCTCATCGTTGCTAATGGAAACCTCTTCTACCTCGTCCCGCACACGTATAATCTCCAACTCCGCCATATTGCTTCCACCAACTGAAATGTGACGACAATAAAAACAATTTTTGCGTTCAATTTCCATGCCGCAAAACCGTTCTTTAGGGAATTTTAACGAAAAAGGTTCCTCTATTCATTATGCTACGCACGTCGTGTTACATATTACGCAATTTGGGATGTAGGGTTATCGAATGCCAAGGCATACAGTCGCGGGGTTCGTGGAGGACTGGTTAGAAGAAAGATAAACCCAGTAGATTACACTGTTAAGTCATAAAGTGCCATACTTGTCTTATCTTATTTTCTGACAGAGAAACAGAGAAACATGTAATACAATAACTGACTGCCCGACGTTACCTCTGGCTGAAGGTAGCTCGTGCACGTCTCCGGGCAACTCTTCTATGACCAGCCCCGCTTTCTCCGCACCTCGCGTACCGCCACTCGTTTCCTCGTAACCGTTCACGCCAGATGGCGCCACCGTACGCGCAGCGCTGGTCGTCACGTGGATCGTGTCGGACGTGAAGGATCGTGATGTCACGTCGCTCGCGGACGTCGGCGGCGCGCGAGCCGACGACACGATCGTCTCCGCGTGCGAGGCGTACGTCATGCCGACGCTTCCGGCGTCTGGCGTCGGCACATCATCGTCATCGTCGGTATCGTCTGCGTCGTTGCTGGGCAGCGTCACGGGGCAGACGATACTCAGCATTGTCGGGGCGACGCCGCCGCGCACGACCCCGCTGCCGAGCGTCGGCTCAACGATGACGCAGAACGGGTTCTCCTGGTCGTCGGCCACCTCCTCTGCGACGTCGTCGCCGCCGCCGGGTACGGAGGCACGGCTGTCGACGTCGTCGGCGCGCAGTGGGGAGGCGCCCGTTGTTGCGAACGGGTTGTCTCGGTCCCCGAGCCGACGCTTGAGGTCGAGTGGCGGCGGGCGGTGCTTCTTCGTGCGCGGCGGGCGAGAGGGCGCCACCTGCTCGGCAGTCCGCGAGATCGACGACACGAAGACGTCGGCATCGGCGCTCGCTGCCGCGAGATGGCGCTGCGACTGCTCCTCCTCCGGACGGAGCGACGGAGAAGCTTGGCTTTCTCTGTTTTCGTCATCATTGTCGTCATCATCGTCGTCATCATCGTCGTCGCCGTCACCGCCGTCATCGTCGTCGTCGACGCCGGTCGAAGCACAACTCCCGGAGCTGGAGCTCCGCCTGGCGGGACCGGTCGCGTCGGCTGCATCCGGCGTCGCATCGGTGGCGCCACCTAGCGAGTCGTCGGCGTCCAGGCTGTAGTTTAGAGTGCTGAGGAAGTCCTGCTCGAGCGAGCGGATGAGGGAGGCATCGATGGGGTCGGGGGAGTCCGGCAGGAAGGAGTCCTCATCTGAGGCGCTGCCGCTGCTGTAGCCGCTGCTCGCCTGTAGGCAGAATTACATCACAGCATGCGTGAAGATGAGGATCAGCTACGAGAGATGCGACAGCAGATTGAGGAGAGAGCGATGGGACAGAGCGCGAAATAGAGACAGGGGGAGAGAGATAGAGAGAGCGAGAGAGAGATAGAGAGAAGGGGAGAGAGAGGGGGAGAGAGAGATAGCGATAGAGAGAGAGAGAGAGAGAGCGAGAGCGAGAGAGATAGAGCGGGAGATAGAGATAGAGAGAGAGAGAGATAGAGAGAGAGAGAGAGCGAGAGATAGAGAGAGGGGAGAGAGAGAGAGAGAAAGATAGATAGAGTGAGATAGAGAGCGAGAGCGAGAGATAGAGAGAGAGGGGGAGAGAGAGATAGAGAGAGGGGGAGAGAGAGGGGGGGAGAGAGAGAGAGAGAGAGAGAGAGAGAGAGAGAGATCTCCATGTTTGTTCGACTTCGTGCACCCCTACCACACAGCAAACACTCTATACGTGCCTGTCAGGCTCCCTATATCTCTTCCTGCTATTGAGCGGGATTAATGAAAAACTAGTGGGACACCCGGGTTCTCTTCTCGAACAAGCTATATATTTACACATATATAGAAGGAAGATGCAGAAGAAGGAATACGATTATATAATTGTAAGAAACAAAGTACAGAAATGATACGTTCGCCAAATCGAAACGTGTCGGATTCTCAAAGACACTCTGCCGTTCTGGCTACTGGTGGAACATGGTGCATTCACACCCCCCCCCACACACACACACACTACACACACGCACGCACGCACGCACGCACACACATATTATATATATATAA